GGGGGTACTCATCTGTACACAAGGCGTACTCCGCTTGACCCAAAAGCCATGCCTTTGACCGTGTACGTGCATCGTACTATTTGGTACCCCCAACATATGAACCTGGTCAGCCTCATCTCTCATTAAGAGCTTAATACATCAAGTCCTTACGTCCAAAACCAGATCCAAGCCCCAAATGTCGTATTTGACCATAAAGTTTCCAACTTTATGGTCTTGCATGGCCCATAAGTGCTTAACACTAAAAACCTTAACTACTTAACCCATTAAGACCTTGTAACTCATGCATGGAAGGGAAGAAATGATCAAGACTACATTTTTATGCTTCTAAACACCTCAAAATATCTGAAAGGACAGCTTAAATGGATTGGAGTAGATCATACTCAAAATACCAAACTAATGGGTCCAAAATGACACAAACTTCATGGCTAACTTAAATTTATGCATAGCTTCATCAAGTTCAAAGCTTTTTACCACCAAGTGATGAGATTCTGGATCCAAAGAGTCCTACTCCTCTAAGATGATCTTCGTTTCTTCTTCTATCCTTCAAGGTAACCAAAACACACACACAAAGCTCAAGAGTGGATTAGGGTTTGTTTGGGGACGAAGGTGAGTTGGAGGCCGATGAAAGAAGGTAGGTTAGGGACTTAAGGATGTTTAAATAGGTTCCAAACCCTAACAATTAAGATTTAGGAATCATGCACGTATGCCATCCGTACGCTAGGTACGCCCAACGTACGTGACCTCGAGCCAAATATTACAAAAATACCATTATGGGACATTTTGTAACATTTCTCATACACAAGGGCTAAGTACAGTAAATCTTCATACTTTGGGTATAATTTGGAAATACCTCATCATCAGGATGTTACAAACGTTGTCGGGAATAGCTACTCTCAAAGTTCGATCCAAAGGCTCACGCGGAACACTGAAGCCTTTACTAAAAGATATCAACACGAATGACCGATTCGCACCCGAGTCGAATAACATTAAAGCGGTTATAAAATTCACAAGAAATGTACCTAACAAAAATCACAATAATAAGCATTCATAAAGTAAAATAACATAAATATAAAGGAACATATACTAGCAAATTACAGACATACGGTGCCGCCTTGACCTCCTCTACTGTCAACTGAAAAGCTCTTCCCCAGGCCTTCGGGGCCCCGGCCTTCCCCAGACGACCACCAATAATGTGTAGGGTCACATGAGCAGGTGTCTGAACTGGACTCATTGTAAGTAGTGGACAATCAGCCTTCACATAACTCATCTGGTTGCAGCTGAAGCAGTCTTGAAGACCCAATGGACAATCCCTCGCAAAGTGTCCATCTTTTATATACTTATAGCATACCGTCCCTGCCTGATATGGGCCCTAATGACCCTTACCGTACTTGCTGCAAGTGCGGCTCCTCTGACCTCTTGGTCTCAAATCAGCGAGCTTGAATCGCTTAATCGTCGGCTGCGACTGCACTGGCCTCCTGGCTCTCTGTTGTGTTTCCACCTTACCCTCTCTCACTTGTGTCTCCAGCTCAAGCTCTCTCCTCCTGGCATTGGTATGCAGCTAAGAAAATGTATGATACTGGTGTTCATCAAAACTCTCAGATATCCTTCTTGAGTATTCTCAAGAATCAGGTCATCCGCACCTCCTCGGAGGATGTGTACTCAAGTCAAAACAAGGCCCTTTTGTGAAACATCATGGTGATATCAGTCGCCGTCTCTATCTTCTGTCTGAGCGATAGGAACTCCTTGACCAGTCGATCCCTCAAGGTCTTGATGGATAAAGTTTCCAACTTTATCTATTAAGACAAGATCTCAAATTCTAAGTTCTTATTGACAACACCAAGGCATGGACTCACTCGATAAGTTATGCAAGCCAACTTTCCAACCAACCCCAAGGTCAAGAAGCTAACAACGCACTCAAGGGTTCTGGAGTTCACTCAAAATCCAAGAACAAGAAGATTTGGGACCAAAAGCTCATAAAAGGACGTAGAACTAGATCTAGAGAAATAATGAACAAGCTAGAGACTTTTTACCTTTAATAAGTCAGAATTGAGATGAAGATGATGGATCTAAGTTGAAACCACACTCACAAAGCAACACTAAGGGATCCTTTTTCCTTCAACCTTCACATAAATGGAGCTCGAGCACTCAAAACATAAAAACAGATGCTAGGGTTGGATGTGGTTCGATCTCAGAGGGTGGAGGCTGCCAAATGAGGCAGTCCTTGGAGTTAGTGCCCTTAAATAGGACAACAATCCCAAAATTAGGGTTTTAGTCCCAAAACGGCTGCCATACTATGGCCTAACGCGAATGTATGTTCCTCAATCATCGAGTGTCACGCTGTTGCACCCAAATGTCACGTTGTGGCCATGCCAAATAATTAAATAAATAGCTAAATCTCAGAAATGAATACCTAAAAAGTGGATGTTACAGGTTAGTCATTTGAAAAAAAAAACAATCCTGTAATTATAGTAGAAAACAATACCATAATTGTAGAAAAACGACATTTTAAGTGTAGAAAAGCTGCAATATAAAAAGCAAAAAATTGCACTATAAATATGAAAAACTGCACTATAAAAAGCATAAAAACTACACTTAAAATACAAAAACCACACTATAAAAATTGTAAAAACTGCACTAAAATTACAGAAAAATAAAACCATGAAAAGCTGATAAATACTTTTAAATAGAGTTGAAGCTTGAACTGTGAAAACTAATTCAAACCCTAGTAAAATAGTAAATGGGCTAAAATGATTTTTATTTTATAATTAATACTTTTATTTAATATATAAAACATAAAATATATTTTTTAATTAATTAATTTATGAAATTAATTTTTTTTGTTCGGTTTGATTTAAACTTCATGAGACCGAAACTCAAACCAAAAACTAAATTCACAATTCGGTTTGTTCTCAGGCCAAACCAAAAACCGAATTTGAATATGATTTATTTTGAAACCGATTTCAGTTCGATTTGATTTTCGGGTTTTTCGATTCCGAACCAAACAATTCCCGCCCCTACTTTTAGGTAGTTAATCACTATTATAACTCCTTGTTTCAATGTTTGGAGAGTTCTAACTTGAGTGATCCATCCTTACCTTCTTAAATCACAAAATACTAGTGAAATTCTATGATTCAAAATTTTGATGTATAAATTTTAGTTACCTGCAACCTAATTTGTTGAAGAAAATCCATTCATCTAGCTAATTTTGGGTTAAGGAAGCTTAAGGGGGTATATTGAACCCTAGCTTTGATAAATATCTCAATTGATTAACTAAATTTGAATTTGACTACTTGATTGATGTTTTGTTAATGGGGAGTGATTTGTATACAATAAATTTTTTTTCCATATACAACAATTTATGTTTTATGGAGTTGTACAATACAACAATTTAATGCACAAATTGTTGTTTATGGAAAAATTTTGTTGTGTACGAATCAATTCCTTTTGTTAATTGACATGTGAACCTAGATTTCAGAGTTTAATACAAATTATTGGAGATAAATCTGTCATTTGAGTCAATCATAGAGATAAGGAGCTTCAATGCCATTTTATAACCCTATGGTAATTCATCCGTTGATTTAGCTAAACCATGTTTGAGTAAGGATTAATTTCGCTATTATTATATATGTGAAGTTAGATTTAAATGTCTAAGTGCATATATAAGAAAGAAAAAAATAAGTTTTGAAGTTACTTATTGAATTTTGAAGCTTGAAAAAGATATTCAATGAAATATCTCTTAATTAGTTAATTTTAAAGATTTGCAATGTTAATGATGTTATTCATGCATTAATTAAGTGTTTAGAAGAAAAAAAAAGCTCTGAACTCTTATAAATAGAATTAGAGGTATTTTTTTTAGAATCAAATTGTACAAGTTTTGGAGGCTTAACGGAGGTTTTTACTTGAGTTGTGATGTCAAACAACCCCACTTGATCGAGTGGAGTCATAAAGCAATTCTACTCGATCACGTCATGACTCTGATGGCACATGAACATCTTTTTTTTTTCTTATTAATAATCCAATTCAATTTTAATTGCTTTCATTTTTTTCCATGATCTTAAGGATTATATGAAAGACTAGAAATGAAATGTTTAGGGCTAAGAACTCGCATTGGTATATATGATTAGAATGTAATTAGTTAATAATTACTTTTTTTATTTTAAATTAACTCTTAACATTCAAATATCATTCATAGTGAAGTAATCTACTTATGTCAAGTTGATGTGACCTAAACATCCAAGAATACATGTACCTATTATACATAATGTATTTTGATCTTTTGTTAATGTATATTTCTATGTGCATATACTATATGAATATATATATATATATATATATATATATATATATATATATATATATATATATATATATAATACATGTGCATTCATAAAAATGAATTTTAGAAAGTGTTTTATAAATGGGGACAATCTTCTTGTTTTTTCTAGCACACGTTTTGATCATGAACATGAACATGCACTTAAGGGACTCGTTGGGAAGAAGCATTGAAACCTAGCATACCATTTCCTCTTCTAGACAACATGGTTTCAGAAAGGACATATTGTACATTTCAATACATTCTACTCAAAAACATCGGAAATTCACAATCTTTTACACCGTTAAAGAAACTTCAAAGTTCAAAGACGACCTTCTATTTTGGAAGACACACCTCTGACCTCACAATGATCACGTAAGCTCACTTGTATAAGTTATCAATCAATAGAATTTTTTATTTTCTTTTATGTTTTTTTAATTAGCTTTCAAGCTTTCTTTGTTTCCTTACTCGTTAAGAGTGTCCGATTAAAGCAAGGCTTCTATAGAAGATAATGACTACTAGAATGAGAAAGCTTGTTTATACTTTGTACCCAACCTTTTAGCACCTTCAAATAAGATAAAAACTTGCACGTTTTTTTAACATTCGCCATGGCCGACGAGCTAAAAATATTCAACCCTTTTTATCCACTTCTAAAAATAATCATCAATCAATAATTAAGTCGTCGATTATGCTCTCCTTCGTGATCGCGCTTCTGTTTTTCTCGTTTTCCAACGCAGCCATGGATCCAGATTCAGTTTACCAGTCGTTTCTCCAATGTCTACCTTCACAGTCACCGGATTCCGCCGAGGATCTCTCCGAACTCATCTACAGCCCCACCGCGAATTCATCTTCCTACACCGCCGTCCTCCAAGCTTACATCAAAAACCAACGTTTCAACAACACCTCAACACCCAAACCCTCCGTTATCATAACTCCGACCACCGAATCCCAAGTACAAGCCGCCGTTCTTTGCGCTAAGAAACTCGGTGTCCAGATCAAGATTCGCAGCGGTGGTCATGACTACGAAGGAATCTCCTACACTTCATCCGACCCTGATTTCATCATACTCGATATGTTCAATTTCCGGCAGATCGAAGTTAATATCGCCGATGAAACTGCGGTTGTGGGAGCGGGAGCACTGTTGGGAGAGCTTTATTATAGGATTTACGAAAAGAGTAAAGTCCATGGCTTCCCAGCCGGAGTTTGTCCGACTGTCGGTGCCGGTGGACATATAAGCGGTGCTGGTTACGGCACCCTGCTTCGTAAATACGGATTGACCGTGGATCACGTGATTGATGCCCGGATTGTGGATGCTAAAGGCCAGGTTTTAGATCGGAAATCCATGGGAGAAGATCTTTTCTGGGCGATATGTGGCGGAGGCGGCGGTAGTTTTGGTGTTATATTATCCTACACCGTGAAATTAGTTCCGGTGCCGGAGGTTAATACAGTTTTCCGGCTTAAAAGAACGGTGGCAGAAAAAGCTCCAGAACTTGTTCATAAATGGCAGATGGTTATGCCAAACATCGATCATGATTTATACATCAGAATCCTGTTACAACCGGTAACTGTGAACAAAGAGAAAACCGGTCGGGCTACATTTATAGCACATTTCTTGGGTGATTCCGATAGATTAGTGGCGTTGATGAACGAAAACTTCCCGGAATTAGGTTTGAGAAAAGAAGATTGTTTTGAAGTAAGTTATATTCAATCCATACTTTTCTGGGACAACTTAGATTACAACACGACGGCGCCGGAGATCCTCCTCGATCGCCACTCCGACACTGTAAAGTTCGGAAAAAGGAAGTCCGATTACGTACAAACCCCAATCCCGGAATCTGGAATGAAGTTAATATTTAACAAACTAGCTGAACTGGGTAAAATCAGCTTGGTGTTCAACTCCTACGGCGGGATAATGAACGAGATTCCGGCGGACTCAACTCCATTCCCCCACCGCGCCGGGAACATTTTCAAAATCCAGTATTCCGTCAACTGGAATGATGCTGATCCCGAATTGGAGACAAAGTACTTGAATCAAAGCTTGGTTTTGCATGATTTCATGACGCCTTATGTGTCAAAGAATCCGAGAGGGGCGTACTTGAATTACAGGGATCTTGACATCGGCGTGATGACCGGAGACAGTTACTGTGAAGGCGAGGTGTACGGCTTGATGTACTTCATGGGGAATTTTGAAAGATTGGTGAAGGTTAAGACGGCGGTTGATCCGGATAACTTCTTCAGAAACGAACAGAGTATCCCAACTCTCGCCGGAAAGAACTCAGGCGAATCCAAGAAGACGATGAAGTGAAATAGTACACCAGTTGTCTATCATGAAGGAATTGGCTTTTGATAGCACTTCAGCTTCAAAGGATGCACTCCACGCATTATTACTTGTACTTTGGATTTATTTATAGCAAAGATCTTCTTGTATTGACTTTTGACGTGGATGATGTAACAAAGGATAAGCGATATTTTCGTTTAACACTTTCATTAACTGAGCAAAAATCAATCATTGGTTCATCATTATGTTCTTGTTTGCCTATTATTAGAAATGTTATATTTACGTTTGTGTAATATATATGTATTTTCTATATGTATTAAAATAGACAAAAGGGTGAAAACAAATGTGTATAATTTATAGCATAGTAGAGTGTATGTCGACTCTTTCAGAAAAAATAAATAACGTGTATGTTTGTAAGAAAGAAGGAACTAGGAAGATTATAGTCTATAGAGATAAGTAATATGTTGCTTTAGAGAGACACGGTTTTCATTTTTTGGAAACGAAAAATAGTAGTGAATAATGGATTGATGTATAAAATCAACCAACATACACCTTTTTTTTTTCTGTCACATCAAAAATGTTGTAGAGATAAATATATGAACGCATATGTGCTAGTTGTGTGGTCTTTCTTTAATATATTCGTAAAAAAAAGGGAAAATGACTTATATGGGTAACTATGTTTCAAAATCGTTCAAAAAATACCATTCAAGTTTGGTGTGTCCAAAAAACACCATCCAAGTAAAGCATTTGTATAAAAAACACCAAAAAAGTACATTTTTTGTTCAAATTTGACCTTTGGTAACCGGCAATTACCGGTAAAAAAATAAGTAAAGGAAAAAAAACAATAGGAAATGACTCAAAGAGGTAACTATGTTTCAAAATCGTTCAAAAAACATCATCCAAGTTTGGTATGTTCAAAAAACACCATCCAAGTAAACTTTTTGTACAAAAAACACCAACAAACTATATGTTTTGTTCAAATATTACCCACCGGTAATTGGTTCTTACAGGTTAAATGATAACTTGGCTTAACTATTATGACATGGCATAATAATGATTGACAAAACAATAAATGATATATTCCTCCTTTAAAAACTGATTTACGGTTTCTTCATGAACAAATGACTTCTTTTTCTCCTATGATTGCTCTTCTTCTTCTAAAGTGATGATCTCGAACTCAAGTCCAAAACCCTAACTCTTCACTTAAGGCAAAAAGGGCTCCTTTACCCCTGCCTGAATGGGCCTCCCTTCCCCTAAGGCCCAAATCCATAAAAAACCCAAAAAGGCATCCAAGCCCAACTACAAGGCATCTAAGGCCTAATATGGCCCAAGAACCCCCAACATGGCCTTAAGCCCAAAAAATGACCTGCTACAATCAGGTGGGCCCGATGCCTAACTTAAACAAGTCCATTCATACGCCCAACATATGTTGAAGCCTCTGCGATCTGGATTTTATGCAAGTACGCCCGGCGTACTCCTACGTACGCCCATCATACTCGGCTAGGCTCAAGAACCGCCAATCTTCTGAAGGCCATAACCCTCGGTATGGCTGTCCGATGCCTAAATTAGCTCCCGTGGATATAAAGAATGACAAAATCACACTTAGAATGAAGAAGTTATGTCCTTCGGAAGATTGGCGGTTCTTGACCCTAGCCGAGTACGTTGGGCGTACGCTAGGAGTACGCCGGGCGTACTGGCTCGACATCCGGATATGATGGGACTATGCACAGACTTGTTTAAGTTAGGCCTCGGGCCCACCTGATTGTAGCAGGTCATTTTTTGGCTAAGGCCATGTTGGGGGTTCTTGGGCCATATTAGGCCTTAGATGCCTTATAGTTGGGCTTGGATGCATTTTTGGGCTTTTTATGGATTTGGGCCTTAGGGGGAGGGAGGTCCATTGAGGCAGGGGTAAAGGAGCCCTTTTTGCCTTTAAGTTAAGAATTAGGGTTTTGGACTTGAGTTCGAGATCATCACTTTAGAAGAAGACGAGCAATCATATGAGAAGAATAAGTCATTCGTTCATTTATTGTTTTGTCAATCATTATTATGCCATGTCATAATAGTTAAGCCAAGTTATCATTTAACATATAAGAACCAGTTACCGGTGGGTAATATTTGAACAAAACATATAGTTTGTTGGTGTTTTTTGTACAAAAAGTTTACTTGGATGGTGTTTTTTGAACATACCAAACTTGGATGGTGTTTTTTGAACGATTTTGAAACATAATTACCTCTTTGAGTCATTTTCCTATTGTTTTTTTTCCGTTACTTATTTTTTACCGGTAATTGCCGGTTACCAAATGTCAAATTTGAACAAAGAATGTACTTCGTTGGTGTTTTTTGTACAAATGCTTTACTTGGATGGTGTTTTTTGGACACACCAAACTTGAATGATATTTTTTGAACGATTTTGAAACATAGTTACCCATATAAGTCATTTTCCCTAAAAAAAATGTGAAAGTTATTCTTGCTGATTTTTCCAATGATTATGTTGATACCTTTTAATGTATCCACTATTTTATCTTTTAAACTCGTTTAGTAAATATATGAATATGAATAATTAATATATATATGTAACTGATTTTTTTAGACAAAACTGCACAAATGGTCCCTGTGGTTTGCTCAAAATTGTCACGTTGGTTCAAAAAAGTTTGGACTAGTACCAGAGGTCCAAAGTTTTCATTTTGTTGCTTGTTTGGTCCAATCTGTTCTGATTTTTTTCAAAATGACGTATTTGCCCCTGTTAATATGATTTTCTCTTTTTTCTTAATTCTTTTCTTGATTTTCAGATTTAAAAAAAATAAAAAAATAAAATTAAATCTCTCTCTCTCTCTCTCATACATACGTACACAAGAACACATACATAAGTACACAAGAACACATATACCCCCTTAATCCTTCGTTTTCACATTCTTTCCTTCAATAAATCACTAGCTTCTCTTCGTTTTAGCAGAAGAAATCGATGCCAAAAACTCAGATCAATAAGGAGTGATACAAATACACTTCGATCAAACAACCCCAAAAATTTGGAGGGTGCCCTCTTTTAGTTTTTAATCGATGTTTCTTCCCCAAAAATTCACCACCGATTATGGTGTCGAAAGCTTCTGTCGATTGGTGACAATTTATGGGTAATCGGATCTCCCTTAAACCCAAAATCAAAGATTGCATCCGAGTTTAAAGTCACCCCATTCGAAACCAACCTCTGAATCTAAATTCATTATTGGATTTTGATCAAAGATTACATCTAGGTTTAAATCGTCGTCGTTGAAAACCTGCATCACCCACCTTTATGTTACCCATCAGATTTTTTTGATTGGATCAAACTTTAGTGGAGGATCCAAATCATATTGGAAAACTCGATTCTCTGTTCAACGTACAACCTTTTGAACGACATACCTCATGTTTTTCAAATCTTCTTTTTCAAGCTTCAATAATGGTGGCCATTTCCAAAAATCCACTCGAACACTTCTTCATCAAGCCCTGCAAACCAAACAACAACAAACTCGAATCAGAAGTTGTTCCTCGTTAACTATCAATAAACTCGAATTAGAAGCAAATAATTTCTTCTCTTTTCCTCTTTCTCTGAATCGGACGAACGCTAGGGTTTCCGATGATATTGATGTTAAGAAAAGAGACCGGTGAGAAGGGTGGCGGTGTTAGGGTTTCATAAAAGTGGCATTTGAAACAAATTAGAGATGATGATGTGTGAAGCAAATCAATGACGGTGGTGTAGGAATGATGATTTGAGATATAATAGATAGAGGATAGTGGAGTGGGAATCAAATTAGATCCCAGGTTTAGAGGAGGTTTGGGTTCTTCAAATGGTATCATAGGGTGAAACATTTTGACGGAGAGAGAGAGAGAGAGAGAAGAGAGATTTAATTTTTTTTTTAGTTTTTTAAATCTGAAATTAAAAAAACAATTAAGAAAAAAGAGAAAATCATATTAACAAGGGCAATTCCATCATTTTGAAAAAAAAAATCAGAACAGATTGGACCAAACAAGCAACAAAATGAAAACTTTGGACCTATGGTGCTAGTTCAAACTTTTTTGGACCAAAGTGACAATTTTGAACAAACCACAGGGACCATTTGTGCAGTTTTGTCTTTTTTTTTACAACCATTCAATGCCATAAATAATCTCATACTATTATATAGCAGAATTTAAAGTTCGCCTATTTTTTTCTGTTCTTTTTATTCATCTGTTCTTTATTTTAAGTTATTTTCCTTTCCTATTTTTTATACCTCGTAACTCCTAGAGTCCTAGTTTTTGAGCTAATAAAAGTCATGCTTGCTATGAAAAAATAAATAAATAAATAAAGTAAAATAAAAAACATTTAGGTTATCTCCAATGGATTAAACTTATGGGGGAGTAATATGAAATGTCAAGTAGGACTTCAACCTGTAGAAAACTCATCAATTTGCATTGCAATTTTATTAAAGGGTGAATGACCATTCAATTCTACACACTCTCTCATCTATATTATATTCAACTTTATTCTATTAAAGTCTCATACAACTCCCATTATGGATCGTCTTACTTTCATGTGAATATTAATCATACCATATATATATATATATATATATATATATATATATATATATATATATATATATATATATATTGAACCGGCAAATACTATATATAATCTACTCCTAAACTAAAACCTAAATTCACCTACGTCCACGACGGGACTTGAACCCTCGACTTCAAGGAGGGAGGGCACCACCTGATACCGTTGGGAAATTACGAATTGGTTTCCATGCTTGCAACTCCACCAAACTTTATTTATTTTGACGGATATATCTAATTTTTTTTCTTATTAGAACAAATTACTGAAATGGTCCATGTGATTAGCAAAGATCTCATGTTTGTTCCCTAATATTTCTTTTGCACTTAGACCGTCCCTAGCATATCATTTTGTTGCGTTTTTACTTTTTAGTCTCTTGTAGAGATTAAAAGACTATCTTTTCATTTGTATTATCTTTTTCATATTGGTTATTGTTTATTAAGTTCATGGTGGTTCA